TGCAAAGACAGACATAATAAGAGGCTCTAAAGGTTGCCATGAAGGTGAAAAGAGATTATGGAGGCCAAAGCAAAAAAGCACATGGGGGCCAAGAAGCTGGGCTGGGTCCCCTAGCAGGCTGCGTATGAACCCCTGCCGGGCTGCTCCCTGCTGTGTGACCTTGGGCAAGGAACAAATAGTTATGCTGCCACACAGCATGTTTCTAAAAGTCACTGCACTATGCACAATCGGACACTAAAAAGCTACTGTGCTTATGAAGAAAATGGGGTTGGGCATAACACACAAAACTTGATCAGAGATATATTTTTAAAAGTAGGGATAGGAGCTGGGGATTTAGCTCAGTGGTTCCAGCGCCTGCCTCGCAAGCACAAGGGCCTGAGTTCAATCCCCGATACCAAAAAAAAAAAAAATAGGGATAGGAACTAATAAATGGTATTCAGTATTGCACCTACTACATAGCCAAGAAGTAGATAAATAGCCCCAGTAAGCATGGTATCCTTCCATGAAAAACATCTGGCATTGGGTTGTAGACTGGTGTGGAGAGGGTGCAGCCGGCAGTTACAGTGATGGGGTGGAGGGAAAGGCACAGCATGGGAGGTGGAGGGTGTGGTTCAGAGCACCGGTGAACTAAAGGGGGTGGTGGGTTGGAGAGGTGTGCATTTATGTACAATGCTCTTTGTAACCATCAATCCTGATGAATCAGCTTCACTGGGCTGACAAACGCCTAGGGGATTAGTGGAGTGTGCTCCCAGGTGAGTCAGGTGTGCCATGGAGGTGTAACCTTGGGTACTATTTTGTTCCTTAGCCCATTCCTCTCTGGTGTTGTTCCTGCATCCTGCTTCCTGACTAAGACACTGTGCTTCACCAGGTCCTTCTGTTATGATGTTTCTGCTTTGGCCCAGCTACCCATGTACTGAATCTCCTAAAACTATATGTAAATTAAACTTTCCTTTCTTTAAATTGTAGATGTCAAGTGTTGTCCAGCAGCAGGAAAACTAATACAGAAAACTGGTACTGAAAGTGAGGCTGTTGCTGTGAATGTACTTGACCATGTGGTTCAGTTTCCAGAAGGGACTGCCTAGAGGCAGTTAGTTATTTGGAAAACTTTAGAGAAGCGTGCTGGAGAAGTCTTCGAATTCTATAAGCAGAGCCTGATGGGTGATTCTGGCCACAGTACAGAAGACCAAAATGATGACAGAAAGGACAGTAGCAAAAGCCAAGGTCACATGTTCAGCTGAGAACAAGGACTCCTTGGCACTCAGACTGGAAGTCATGTACGTTCTGCTCTGGAGGAAGAGTAGTCTGTGTTTTGCCTGTGTCCTGAGACTTTTCAGGAGACTGAGATTAAGGGTGAAGGACTAATTAATCTGGTGGGGGAAATTCCAAAACATCCCAACATTCTGGCTACACCGTGGGCACCGCTGGCTGTTTTTTAGCCAGATTTATAGTGAGAGTTGGGGGCAGAAGGCAGAGCAGGAAAGTTGACAAACTTAATTTTTTGCCCAGAAGGAACCATACATAAAGTTTTGGACAAAAGCGGTAGGGCTGCTAAAAAGATTGGCATCATTAAAATGAAACTAATTACTTTGTGCAGAGTCAAGAAGAAAGATGCCTTGAAGATACCTCAGAAATTGGTAAATCCCCATCCCAGGCTCCAGGGTGCAAAAGTGTAGAGCTTTCATTTAAAGAGAGTCCCTGGGACTCCCACTTAAGAAGGGCCTCCCAGAGAATTGCTTCCCCAGTATTCATTTCACCATGTTCACCCATCCAGACATGCAGAGGCTGCTACAGCCGTGATCCAAGGGGGCCGGGCTACTGCTTCCACTGATAGCCGACCTTGGCATCGTCCACGTGGCACTGGTTGTACTGGCATGCAAAATGCAAGAGTTGTGGCGGGGGAGGCTGCTACGCAGATTTCAGAGGAAAGCCAGAGAGGTGAGGCAAGGAGCCCTTGAGCAAATAGTTCATGAAGCTATGGGAATGAAGCCAAAGGTGCTGTGGAAACTCTAGAAAGCCAGAAATGCCAGAACATAAAATGTCTGCTGAGGAAAGTCGAAGGCTGTGAGTGTAGCCAGCTGAAGAGAGATGCCATGTAGGCTGCAGCTGGCAAGGCCCTAGGGTGGAGCTGCCCAAGCCCTCCAGAACTCACATTCATTGCTATGTGCCCTGGGTACTCTAGGACTTTTGCTTTTGTTTTTGTCTGGTTCTTTTCCATCTCACTGTTCCTTCCTTTTGGAACAGGAACGTTTACTCTATGGCACTGTGCCTTGGGATTATATAATTTGTGCTTTTGTTTTTACAGAGGTTCACAGCTAAGAGTTTGCCTTTAGTCTCAGAAGAGATTTGGACTTGGGCTCTGAAAAGTGTTAGAACTGTTGAGACTGTGGGTGAGGGAGTATTGTGTTTCCAGTTGTTTGCAGGATGGCTGGATCATGTTGGGCAGAATTATGACCTTGCTATTGTCTTTGTTTGGAGATTAAGTATGTTAAAGGACATGTGTTGGGATATGAAGCTCTTCGGGATGGATTATGATAATTAGTCCTAACATGGAAATTTACTGGATCAAGACATATATGCCTAGTGGATTATCAGAGCATGGATGTGTCTGGTCAGATCATGGTGGCTTGACCTTGTGCAGTGTTTGTGGTCCCTCACCTGTTCCTCTCTGGCACTGTTCCCCTGTGTGCTGATCCCCTGCTCTGCTTCCTGGCTTCTGCACACTAAGTAGTCTTGCTCTGCCAGGCCCTTCTACCACAATGTTTCTGACTTGGAGAGCCAGATGAACTTGGACTGAATCCCCCGAAACCGTGAGCTAAATTGAACTTCTCAGTCTTTAAGTTGTAGTGTCAGGAACTGTGTTCAGGAATGGGAAAGCTAGCTTATACATTCCTTGACTTCTGAAGGTGTTACTCACCATATATTGAAAATATTTTGAGTCAAAATGCTTTTAAGCCATCTAAATACCCCACACTGAAGAATACTGGTCATCTCCCCTCCTGATGGCGGGCTGAGTGGGAGCTACAGCTCGCTGCCACGGCCCAGCATCATAGGCTTCCTGCACACACCACTAGTGGGGTGAAAGATCAAAAGTGAGGGTCAGAAGCACAGTTTCTACTGAAAGCATGTTGTTTTGCATCATTGTGAAGTTGCAGCACCACAAATTGAACCATGGTATTAGGCGCTGTCTATACACACAGCCCCTTCTGCTGGCCGTGCGTCTCTTCATTCACCCAGTGTTTCTTACACTGAGAATCGAGCCTAAACAAACCGAAAAGTCCTCCCATTTACATTAAGTTCACAGTGCCCCCTGCTACATCAACAGTGTTGGAACAAACATTCTAGGAGAACGGACTGCATGTGTGCTTACTCTGCCTCCGTTCTCTCATCTGCAGCTGGGGGTGGTGTGGGGTCAGCCTCCTGAGGCTGTCGGCCCCACCGTTACGCCGGGTCGCTCCCTGAGAAAGGGCTCGTCTTGGCCTGTTGTGCAGTTGCGGTGCCTTTCCCCCCGGAAATTTTCATTCCATGTTATGATAGGTTTGATCTGGCAATCTTTCCTAGAGGATCAGTGTTCCTTCTGGGTAAGGCGTGGGCCCTGGCTGAGGCTCCCACTCCTGCATGATTGTGACACCCATGGGGGATAGGAACTCTTACTCACAAAGAGACCTGAGCAGCGAGATTGTGTCACCTCCTGGAGGGAAGGCAAGGAGGAGAAAAGGCCCCGACAGCTCTCTGACTCAGAGGGGGCTGAGGACCGCGAGGTGAGTCCCAGCTCACCTGGAGGCACTGCTTACCGCCAGCTGCTCTTGTCACGTCAGCCCTTCTGACCGTGACTCCCTTCATCGTGATTCTCCAAACGGAGCTCCCTAGCCACTGCCACAGTTGGCCCGGCCTGCGGTGAAACCCAGACGGGTCGTTCCATCTTTCACCCATTGTCTTTTTGGGTTTCTGCAGACAGCTGGCTAAAAACAGATGTGAGGAGGCCAGGGCATGACTCACAGGCTTTGGTCCGCTGAGCTGCAGATCCAAGTGTGAGGTTCGTGATAGCTGTTTGTAGGGCATTCATGTGGTGTGGATGCAGGTGCTGTGTGGGTTTCCAGCGCTTGCTTCCAGCTGCGTCTCTCACGCGCTCCTGAGTCCTCTACTCTCCTCCCCATGGGCTTCTGTGCCCATCTGTGGGCTCAGAGTGTATACGGATGTACTTAATTAGTTTTCGTTTCACAGTGTCCTCTAGGAAGTAGAAAAGAAATGGGCAGTGTCCATGAGTATTCTCACTTTTCTGAAATCCGTGGTGATTTGCTATAAGTGGGTACCTGCACACTGGGTTTTTTAGTACAATCATGCCTGAGGCTTATGTTTTAAAATGCAATATTCTATTATAAATCAATACATTTTCTTTTATTTCTCCTCTATATGGTAGTGAGGTCATCAAGCATCATGTCAATATCTTTCAAAATGTTAATACCATCAAATATCTGTAATAGAAAAGAGCCCGGTAAGCATAAGGACGCTGGGATGAGGCATCAAGCCGACAACTACCAGGACCTGCTGGGCTCAGTCCACCGCTAACAGGTGGGCACGAGTGAGAGAAACCCTTGTTTGGCTTTGGCTCTGAGCTCCAGGGCCTACTTTACTGGTTTGCTCAAATACATCAAGTTTCAGTCATTTCTAAAAGCAAGAGATAGACTTTTAAATAGTGTTGTACTTCGGAGATCTATATGTGATAGGGTGTTTATGGATAGCAGACCGGGCCCCACAGTGGCTGCTGTGTGGTTCTGAATGGTTTCCTTAGCATCCTGTGGATCAGCATGTTTCCTGATGTCAGTAACCTTGGCATCGGTGCAGTTTCCCTGCGCGGGCCCATCTGAATACGCCACTTTTGTGATAAGAACACAACCCAACAGCGTATTCTCCTTGTCTCGTTTATGAGCTTACATTTTGCAGAGAAATTTATTTTTCTTTTTCTACAAACTAAGCAGTATTTCTCTCCACCCCCTTCCCAGATGGCTGATGCTTCCCAGAACCCCACACTTCTTCAAAAACCAGCCCTCGGGCAAGTCTGAAGGCTGCTCTCCACCCAGCTTTGGCAGGGGCAGGATCCGAGTTTCTGCAAAGATATACGTAAGGAAACAGCAAGGACGGGAATGAAGTTATGGTCGTTCACGAGAATCCGTGTCAGGGTAAACCCTAGGCCAGGTTTCCCAGCTTCGGAAGGCCTGTGTCACAGGAGCTGATGAGATTGTACTGGGGAGACACGTGTACTGCTTTCACTCAGAAAGCAAACACGATTTTATATGTCACACTTCAAACTTTTATTTTTATTAGTACATGTCTGCAAGATTTAACGATCACACACATCGTGGGAAGTCGACACATGTACATAACACATCTGATTCTGTTACTTCCCCTTGACTCCCTTCTTTCCCCTCCATCTCTTTGTCCCTCTGCCTTTGCAATCTCTCTGTTGACAGAGTGGCTTTGCCATCTGGGGCTTGCAGGCTGGTAGACCTGGGTTTCAAACCAGAGGCTCTGCTCACCAGCCTGACCCTTCCAGGAAGTTACTGTAAGAGCAACAGTGGTAGCTGCATTGTATTATGAAATAGTTTAAATACAAATAAATTTGGAGAAAAAATAGGAGTATAAGGCATCCCCATATACCGTCACCTAGCTTCAAAAATTGTCAAGGTTTTGAGTAAGTTACTGAATTAGTGAAATGACAGTAGTGATTCTCACCTCCAGGAGTTCTTGTAAGGTTTATAAAAGCAGTAGGACATATGATCTCTCAGCCATGAAGCTATAATGTTTACTCTGTCTTAAACTGAGAATAACCATGGTTTAGCATCAGACTGCACTGGATGGAAAGTGGGAATTGGTGACTTTACTGGTCCCTAGAATGTCACAGGGTGCACAGGTCCTGAGCACAGTGATTAGGTCTTATATTTAAAAAGCAAACCCCTACACAGGACAGAAATCCATTGTGTCCCAGTGAAAATTCCTCATGACTTATGCAGGACAAAAAAGCTACTTAGGTACATGGCCTTGTCCTTGAAGCACAGTGTGTACAACGCAGAAACAAATTGGCAGTAGAAACCCTCATGCAGGGCAGGGTGCCTTTCCCGGGTCTCCAGCGACTACATGGGTAACAGCAGGCCTGCCGCCTCCCTGTGACTGTTCTCAGAGGCCTGCACAGAGAGAGAGAAGCCTTCCTCTGGGGAACAAAAATAGTTGTTCTTACATCAAACTGAGAAAGATTTTGCTGAGCTTCAAGATGAGGAGTGATTAATTCACAGGAAGCTCTGCAGGGCCAATCAGACGGGGTCCTTGCTCAGAGAGGTGGTGGGGAGGCCGGATTTGGAGGATGAAAGTTGACTGCTGTTTGCGCTGTTTTGCAGAGCAGCTGAAAAGAAATGCAAGTTTCTAAAAAGTGCTAGAAGGAAAAAAGGTAGCTTTGCTCTGATCTGTAGGGCAATGCCTTACGAAGAGTCAGTGGGCAGTGGGTAAATAAGGTTCTGAATTTTTAAAATCCAAAACTTGGGTTTTTATTTTGCAACCAGAAGCAAGTTAATTTCAAAAGGGGAGTGGCATAATAAAACATGTGTCTTGGTTTTTCCATTTACATTACACGACGTGGGCAAATTTCTCCACCTCTCTAGCTTCAGCGCGTATCTCACTTAAAAGTGTGGTCTCCAGGTGCATCCATTTACCTAAAAATGTCTCGAGTTTTTCGTTCTTTATGGCAGAGCAGTGCTCCACAGTACATAAATACATTTGCTTTATCGTTGGATGAATGGATAAAGATTTATGGACCTGAAAGTTCTTCAAAGTGGATAGTTCAGAAAACCCTAACTAAATATCGAGGGTTTGAGGATGACTTGGAAAACAGTATTTTCTTGTGCAGTTCCCACTGTGTGTGTGTGTGCTGAGGACCAAACCCCGGCCTTGAGTACACAGCACCCCTGAGCTGCAGGCCCAGCCCGTCTTTCCTTTTGCAGTCGCTTGGCCATTACTGTAGTGACTGTCAGAATGCGTTAAATGCTGGACACGAGTCAGCTGGCGAGCTGAACACGTAAGCCTCGCAATCACATGTTAAGGTTTCATTGTTGTTATTTCGATCATAAACGAAATGAGTCTCAGAGGGGTTGAACTTATTAATGTCCACGAGCACACAGCTGGGATGCTGCAAAGTCAGAGTTGGAATTCTAACCTAACTGCCTCCAAATCTCAAGCTCTAAGTTTGCTGTTGAACACAGAAAGGTTTGGCTTAGGAAACAACTAGTGTTTCCTGCATAGACAGCCTGACAGACATTCAAGTGGAGAACGTGAGCAATTTTTAAATTGACGTTGTCTTCACCTTCCCTAGCCTAGTCAGCAAATATTGCAACGGTCTTCTGTTCTTCAGAGATAATTTGCTGAGAGAAATAAGGATCTACTGGTTTGTATTCTTGAGGTCTTTAATGGAAAATAAGAGACAGAGTCGTTCTTATTAGCAGCAGATAAATTTTTGCAACTATTCTGTGGGTTGAAACAGTCAATGAAAACTACAAAGTCTACCGAACAGGGTGCACGTACTTCAGTCGCTCTCCACACTCCCATCTGGAGGCTGACGGCCACCACTCGAGCACCTCTTGCAATGGTGGAGGCCAAAGGAAACCTGCATTAATCTCATGGTGTCGCAGTGAATTACTATTAAAATGTTCATACATTTCCGGGGACTCTGTAGATGCGGTATTTAATGAAAGTCTGATTCAGCTAGTGTTCAAAATGAGAAAGAAAAAACTCGTTCGCTTGGCAGAGAAAGGGGAGGGACAGTAATGTGCCTGGGGAGAACAGAAGGGGCACTGAAAACAGTGCTAAAGGGCACATTGCTCACCCAACAGACACGGCTCGACCTTCTCTTGGCTGACCGCTGAGCAAGAAGTGTGTAGCTCCTACCCCGCATCCTCCTTGCCTGGTCTTCCAGGCACCGTTCTCTCTGCCAGCTGCCGGCTGCTGCTCCAAGTTGCTCCTTTGAGGGGCCACCCCCTCTGTTATCCGCGAATGGTCCTGGACCCCCTCTTCTTCCTGCTCTAAGCCACCTCCCTGGTGATCTCCTCCACCCAGTTCCTCATCGCCCACACATACCTGAGTGACTCACAGTTTTATCTCCAGACTTGGTCTTGCTTTTCACCTCCAGACCCACATGTCAGCTGTCTATTTGCTGTCTTATGAATGCTTGGAAGGTCTTTCACCTTCAGCAGGTCCAAAACTGAGCTCACAATCTTGCGCCCGGACCGGGTCCTCTTCTGGTCTCTGTCTCCCTCTCCCTCCCTCCTTCCGTCTCCCTCTCCTCCTCTCCCTCTCCCCCGCTTCTCTCTCTCTGGCAGCACCACTACCTGCCTAGATGCTCAGCCGGGAGCCACGGAGCTAGGCTGCCCCTCAGCCCCTTAGTCATGACCAAGCCCCGCGGGTCTCACGTGCGAGTCTCCTCGAGTCCCTGACCTTCTGTCTGCATTGCCTTCATCCTGTCCAAGCCAAGCCATCGCTCGCCCGAGCACTGGGACCTCCTTCCTGTAGAGCGCTCTCACCACCTGATTCCACGCAGGCCTCCCGGCTGTCTTCTCTCCGTCCTGCAGCTGCAGTGATCTTTGCTCTCACATAGGTCGCATTCCGCCATGCTTGGAATCCTTCCCTTGCTTTTTGCTTTTCTAAGAAATCCTTCCTGATGCCCACCAGGCAATACGTAGTCTGGCACAGTGGTCCTCAAACTGTAGTCGTGGAACGTATCAGCATCTATCCATGGTATACTCAGAAATCCTGGGTCCCATCTGAGAGCTGCAAAACTGGAAACGCTGGGAATGGGATTGGTCAAGGGTTAACAAGGTAATTCTGATGTCGTCTACACTCAAGTCTGAAAATGGCTGCTTTAGAATCTCTGTACTGGCTATGTCTGGCCTCCTGTTCTTACCTTTGTAGCATATTATAATTTCCTTTCATTCCCTCGTGTAGTAATGTTTCCTCCAACCACAGGGCCTTTGCACAGCTTCTTCCTTTTATCCTCTCCTAGTTAAAGCTTATTTTCCCTTTAGGTCTTAGTTTGAGAGCTGTATAGGACTAATCTCTTCTAATGCCATGTACTGTTCCTTTGTAGCCCTTGAAAAATAGTTGTATTTTCTCTTTTTTTTTTTTTTTTTTTTTTTTTGTACCAGGGTTTGATCTCAGATTCCTCCACTTGTGAGACAGGAACCACCACTGTGCTAAATCCCTGGCCTAAAGGCAATAACCAGCAGCCATTCTTTTTTTTATTTTAATAGTTGTATTTTTTCTTGCTGGTGTGTTTATGAACATCTGTCTCCTCAATTAGACTAGAAACTTGGAAAGAATTGGGACTGTACTAGTTGGTTTTCTGTTGCTATAACAAACCCAAGTATGGTAATTTGGTAAGAAAACAGATTTATGTAGCCCCCCTGTGCTCAGCTGATGAAGGCCTCCTGCTGGGCCAGAGGGAGGGGGAGGCAGGGCAGAGGAGAGGATGCTTTGCAATGACGTCCTTCTCGGTAACCGACCCAGCCCCGGTAAAGCGGCTGCTCCACGCAGGAGGGTGTCCGAGACCCAGGCCCCTCCACTGGGCCCCAGCGCGGGGGCCTCACCACCCGCGGAGCTGCTTCGCCATGGGCCACACCCAGCCACGCCCCGCCGTGTCCGTTTTCTTGGGTCCCTCCCTAGTGTCCGCTGTTAGGACAGAGCACAGACTCAGGCGTCTGTTGAATGCGTACAGGAGTCAGTGGACTTCCCCGAAAGCATCCGCAGCTTGTTCGAAAGCGCAGACCCTCCCTGCGTCCTCACAGGCAGCTCTCAGTCCGTTCATTTTATAAAATGGACGAGGTAATACAGGGCCAGAAATCTCCCACAGGCCAGGCACAGACCGAGGCCTTCGGTAATCTGAGCCCTGGACGTCACTGTCACTGTCACTATCAATGGCGAAGCCATTGGCCCTGTCATTACTCCGCCTTCGAGCCCCCATCATAATAATTGGGTGCGGCTGAGACTAGTGTCCTTCCTGACAAGGACTACGCTTCTCAATTGTAAGAGAAAAATCCATCTTTTTGCAACTGCTACATTTTTCCTAAGTAATTATCACCAGT